AAAGCGAGCAATGGCAACGTTGTGCAGAAAAAACATTTTTATCTCCAGCGCGTGAGTCTCTGTATCGGAAATTCTAAAGATATGCTCGTTTTAAAACTATTTTGCGATATTGCTGTTGCACTGGATCTTATGGTTTAAGTGCGAGGAACATGATATTTAATAAAGAAAGGTAAGACACAAAATGTTAAAATACGCCCCTTTGGACGTAATTTAAAATCTGAAACATTTCAGATTTTTTTTTTTTTTTTTTTTTTTTTTTTTTTTTGAATTTAATGTTCGCCTAAGTTTGGACATAGATAATAATTACGGCGCATTTAAAAATTCATAAACAATGTGGAATCTTTCATTGCAAGAGTTAAACCATAATTAAATATTTTTTACTCATTTATCGGCTTTCCAGCAATTACCCAATAAACTGAGTAACATAAAATATTCACTATTTGCTTTGATTTCTATATCCGGCAGATTGAATGTGTGGGTGGTATAAATATGACCTAGTCTCCACAGTTAGTTTATTATAACTAATCCTTAAATCACAGACGGCTTAGACTAACACAAAAACATCCGCAGTACATTTTATATTTATATTACTTTTATACTATACTTGAATACGTAAACAAGTCTTTACCAAATATTATGTTTGCTATGTTATGTTTGTTTGCTTATGTTACATTATGTTTGTTTATGAGAAATAATAATGTATTTGTTACAAATAAGAATGTTATGTTTAAAATTGAACAAATTGCAACTTTCTGATTCATAACTAGAAAAAGCATAACATTTACCATAATATTCTCTAGAAATTGAGAATTAAATTTCCAAATATATGTATGTAATTTAAGTTTTATTCAAAATATATACACTTTAAATAATACAATAACCATATCTATATTCTACAGCCGAATTATGGTTGATGAATTTTTAACTCTTTTTTTATAATAAGGCCTTTTTCAAACATTTTGGGAATTTTTTTTAATTTTCAATATAAATCAGATTTTAAGAACTTGTGAATAAAAATTATCTATTACAATTTTTTCCCAACCTGTAAGTATGATAAAGATGTATTATAAAAATTAAAAGTTTAATTTATCTTCATTATCTTCGTTTTTCAGTTTTATTACGAATGCAACTGTTTGATTTTGGGGTTTATACCATATTCAAATACTTGAAATGTTTATAATAAATAGTTGCTGATAGAACGCTATATAGCTGATTTAAATAATGCAGCTTAATAATAATAAAAATTATTTTTATTTTTATGTTAACTTCTTAAAAAGAATATATACTTAAATTTTGAAGCGTTACGTGTATTATGTTATTTTATATTAGGTGCATTTATACTTTATCTACTTTAAACTATACTTGGAAAATGTTGTTGTTGCTTTAGTTTGCGGGGAACTTAAGAACCATAAAAAGCATAATGATTTTAATTTACATGCAAAAAAAAGTTCGCAAATAAACGTTTCGCAAATAAACGCTTCGCAAATAAACGTTTCTCAGATTGTTGCCATTTATCAATGCGTAAGATCTTTAATTAATTTTTTTTAGATTTAACCAAACTGTAATTGCTTAATTATCCGAGTCAATTAAATGTAATAATCCTTAATAACTTAAATCTTTATTTTTAATAAAAACAGCTAATTGATATAATTTAGTATACGCTCAATGAAAACAAATATTCAATTCATATGAACATTTGCAGCATTAATCTATCTAATAAATGTTTTTTTCTGTATATTACATGCGCAGGTACTGAATAATTTGGTATTATTTTAATAATGCATGTCATATAATTTTAAACACTTTTAATTCGTAATATATTAATTTCGTAATAATGAATAAGTGCAGCATAATTGTATTAAATAACGTATGCTTCTAATTACATTTTAGGAACTTGTTAGGAATGTGATTAAAATTCTTTGCTTTACTTCTTATTTTACTTTATATCATTTTATTCTTTTAGAACAGACGCGTAGAAAATAAAAAAGAAAGATTATTTCCTTGCGGGAAATCATCTAAAAAGGAATCAAAAGGAAAATATATTTATAAAAGGACTTAAATAATTCATTTGTGTATTTTATTAAAAAAAAAGTTTGATATCTCTTTCTGTTTCTTCTGTTTCATTATTAAAAAGTGAAATTACCGTGATTTTTGTATTTTTTTTAATCTTTTAACAGATAATTATTCACTAAAACATGTATGCATATGTACATATGTATGCATATTAGAAGAAGAATTTTTTCAATGCTTCTTCATTTCATAGAAATTATATATGATGACTTAGTACTCTACAGTAACATAGCGAAAAATTGTAATATTTTCTTGTGAAACATATTAGATATTGCTATTTAATTAAAAGTTTGCTGCAGTTAAAATGAAATTGATTTAGTAATATATATATTTAACAGTTGAGTATATAAGTTTTAATAACATTAAGATATATGTTATGATAATGAGTACATTTTCACGTTGCATTTTATTAACTGTATATCACTGAATTCAAAGGAATTTGATTGCTTTTTATGTATTCAAAATTATACATCACAATTTTAGTCTGGACCCAGGTTTATCATTTACCGACAAGAAAAGGGACATTATACTGAAACTGATTGGTTACTCAAGAAATTCAAGAATTATTTCAGATTTTTAATTTAAGTAGGACTTCAAAGTGATTTAATTAAATGTGCATGTTCAAATATATTTTTTGGTCCTGTCTCGTAAAATTTCAAATGTAATATGAATTCTGCTGTTTACACTAGTTTCAAAACTCATCCTGGAATGTAAGAATTATTAAATTACATAAGAAAAATTAAAATGTCAAAATCTTTTTAATAATTAAATCATAAATTCTTTTACTACTTAAAAGATATTTGAAAGCACCTCCAAAAATAAATGCTTCTGTCATTTGAAAACTTTTCAGGAATTTATTCACTTTCTTTTCTCAAGTTGTTATTTTTTAACTATTTTATTTAAAGCATTTCTTATTATATCTGTTTATTTAAAACATTTCTTATTATATCTGAAGGTTAAGTGATGCTTTTTATTGTATGTATAATTTTATTGGAACAATTTAAAGTTGTCATGGTAATTTAATTCAGATAAGTCATTTGTTATAATAGCCATTATAATTGAAATTTACTGATAAAAAGTCAGATATTAAGTCCATCTTTATTAGACGTATGTGATGAATAAGAGTTTCTATTCTATTGATAATAGTAAATTTTAAATGAAACCCAACATTTTCATCTCAGAAAATGTTCAAACATGATGATTGAGATTTTGTAAATCAGTTTATAAGCAGAAGGCATATAAATTATGCTTAATAAATTTTATCATATTATAAAATTCCACTTTTGTTTTACAAGCTTATTTTATTTTCTAATAAGAGGTTTCTTCAGCAACTATTATAATTGGTTTATAGAAAATAAATGCAGAGTTTTATTTATAGTTTATATTTGGTGCAGTGACTAACAGGTGAAGAGTGAAAAAAGGTTGGAACATTTTGAAGTTTCTGATAATGATTAACGTTGTAGAGATATTAGGTATTTTTTGGAAATAGGCAAGGGGAAAAATATGCAACGCCTTCGCCGGTAATCGAACCACGGACCTCTCAATTACGCTGAGTATGCTTGTACACCACGAGGGCTGAGTATACAAAACACCACGAGGGCTCGCTACGAAGGCGGGACAAATACCTTATAACGTCATTTGTTTCAGTAGAAAAGAAATTTTTCTCGTATATTTTTCTTATAAATATATATGCAATAAATGGAAGCATGTACAAAAACAAAAATAATAAAAATGAATTTGGGAAATTTTAGTCTTTTGTTAACTAATGCTGAGTGACTTCTTTGGTATAATATGTGAAAATGAATTAAAAAAATTACAAAATCAATGAACTTTTGTTTATAGTTTGATAAAAATATTTTCAGCCAATAGCTAAATAGTTATTCAGGGATATAAATGGTCAGATATTTTGTACAAGATTTTCTTATTCAATTTCATTTATCTACTTTCATCTAATTAACTGTATCTTAAAATATACAGTTTTACACAAATATTCTAGAAGATACGTAAGTAGGTCAGTTTCAGGACTTTAGAAAACATGGAAAAAGCAACTTCAGGAAGTAAAATGGGGGAAAAAAACTTAATAAAGTGGGATCTAAATTTAGTATTGGAATATCTTCAATGTTGTACTGGTGTATCATCAAGTATTGGTTTATCATCATATCTTCAATGTTGCATTCCTTCGTTCATAGTAGGACTTCCAGCGAACTTCTATCTGCTATCTCGAATCACTAGTATTGTCGTATCTCAAATTCAGGATTTTCTTTAAGCAGCTCTGTCGAAGCACTGGCGTATTTTAAAATCTTTACAGAATCTTCTAGTGGTTACGCAGTCTGTGAGACCCATAATCCGTATCGCAGCCACCACTTATATAAATCTGTAATATCACAGACAATTATTAAATAATAACTACGGAATTAAATGCATGAAAATCTCTATTTCTTTCTAAAATAGAGATGAAAAACTATTAAAATAAATCATCAAACATCATTAAAACACTATCCGACTCAAGCTTCCACACCTAGTTCCCGAAAGAATATTCCAAGACCACTATCCAACATGAATGTAAAACATATTAAAATACTGTCATTTCATTATATTAGAAAAGGCATAATAAATTTTATTTGGAAGGTTAATTTAGTTCCTGTCTGGTGAAGAAAAGGAAGTTCTACGTGCTTAGTTTGCTTGTTAAACTGAAAATATACACAAAAAATCAATAAAACTAGCTTGAGCATTAAAGTAAACATTTCTAATTTTGTAAAAGAAATTTATTTCGAGTTGCAAAGGTATCTCACGGGAAGAGTTCTGCGTTGAATTTCGCAGCTCTGCGCCTTTTTGTTTCTGCGCTTTAAGATACATGGACAAATTATTTTTTTAATTATTATACTTGCAGACGTAAAATGCTAAGATGTTTTTCTTTTCATATCTTTTAGCGGCCGACGAATGTGCAGCAGGTCAGTTCCGCTGCAGCGATGGGTCGTGCATCAGTCAGCTTCACGTCTGCAATGGAGAATATGAGTGCCCTGACGGTTCTGACGAACTGGAGAATAGAACTTGCAGTAAGTTTAATGAGTTTAATTATTTGTACAAAGCGTGTCAAAAAATGAAAAAAAAATACGAAGATTTATTGAATAGAATAAACATCTTTGAAATATTTTAAGAACACAGTGACTAATACAGATTATACCGCTGTGGAATTTTATACCACAAAATTATTTTTTTGAGGATAACATGCGACAAATAATTCTCTGCTAAGATATTTCTGCAGTCTAAGAGAGATGCTGTCCCTGATGTGATGCTATACTGCACCAAGAATCCTCGCAATTTTCTTTCGCATTCTTGCTTCAGCAAAATGAGTGTAATACAACTTGCTCTCAAGAAGACTTTAGAAAATTAGAAAAAAGGCATGCTGTGAAATGATACGGTGTTGAGGGCTATCCATTGCCACCATTCCTTGGAATGATATGGTTGCCAAGTAATTATCATACAACTTCCACCGATATTCGCGTTGTTTCCTCTACTGCCCATCCTGCTGGAGTTATTTGGTATCAATCTGTTGTGTACAACTAGGACAACTTCAATACTGTCTGGCGTAAGAACCGTTTGTAGTTTTTCAGAATTTTTCGTTTCCATAATCGAACCAATTCTTTTTAAATTTAGGAAACATGTGTTAATTACATGCCCTATTGAAACACGACCATGAAGATTAGAATTGAGCCACTATATTCTATCTTCGGCTACCTGTTGCCATTCTTGGAATATGCTTTGACTGTAAAAGATTATCTACTCTGCCACCCATTATCCCAACCTACTCATTATTACCAGATCACAAGTTGATATGAACAGCGTTGTATATTCTATTCAGTGCTGACAATCTCCTGGGGTTGTTTAGATACGATTCAAAATTTCTCTTTCTTTTGAGCCACCTATTCGTTGTTTACCATTAATTTCACAATCTTACATGATTAAATTACCAATATATGTTAAACAGAATGGAATATAACTTTGTTGGTTACATTATCACTTGAGACCTCAAAAAGCAAGTTTATTCGCTTGTTAGGTAAATATTTTAAGAAGACATTTCGATGCTAATAGGAATGACGAGTGTATAATTAAGTATTTCATTAATTACATGTTTCATTAGAAATTTCTTTCTATTGATAAAAACTGAAAAATCTAGTTTTCCTTTGATAACATTTTAAGTTGCAAGTAAAAGTTTTATTAGAGGGAAATTAATCAGTTTTAACCTTGTCGATTGATCTGTCTACGACGAGGTCAATGTTTTCTAGTTGTCTAATTTCAATAGATACGGGTTTAAAAAAAGTCTAATTCTATCAAAAATAGGCCACAATAGCTTCCGCGTGAAGATATCTTAATGCTAGAAGTTCGATCCAAGGCGAAAGGATTGGCTGCATAGCTGGTTTTCGTAGATTTTCCCATGAGTATGTAATATAAATACGAGCCAGTTATCCTTAGAAAATCCTTTTGGAAGGCATCTGTCCTCATAAGCAAATAGTTCTCATGTGCTTTGCCATATTTAAATAACCTAACCAGTCGCTAACAGACTAGGAGATGTAACCTTCTTTCCGTGAAACTTAAAGTAAACGTTATTTTAAAAAGCTTTAAGTAGTTTAAGAATAAGACTAAATCCGGTCTTTAAGACTTAAATCGCATCTCTTATGACGTCACTATTTTCTTTTCACTTTCTATATCGCTTTTCGTCTTTGAATTGGTTTTCGAGTAACTGGTTATTTGCAATGACTTCTTATTATTTTTTTATGACAAATCAGATTAAGGTGATTTGCTTAGGGTATGGATGCATTCGTGGAAAGCTAGACAAACAGGCAGTATTTAAAGTGCTCAGGACCGGTCAGTACATTCCCCCAGAACCCCATTGAACGTAAATTTTCATGAAACTTTTAATTTCAAAAATTCACTTAGTTAAATTGCATAGTTATGTCTTGTGATCCTTCCTTCTTTTTGTTTAGTTGACCAACGCGAAACGCAGTCGAAAGGATTCTGAATAAGACCAGTTTCCACTCGTCTTTCAAACTAATTCTGAGAGAATGTTTTTCAAATTCTTGCTCATAATTATAGTTTAAATAATGAATAACATATTTCTTTCAATTTTATTCATTTTTTGCCATTCCTATTATTAAATTTAGTTTATGTAAATGCATTTACATTATGTTTTAAAAGTAATGTCTTGCAAATACCACCCATTGTTATCCTTGATTTGATATGCTTTGCCCAAGGAATTATCTATAACTCTTGACAACCTTTACGGCCTTAAAGTCTGAATTGCTCATCAAAAATTGGACTTAATCTGCAGTAGTTTGTTTTTACAACTCACCTTTTAATTAATCCCGAAAAAAAAAGGCAGCCTTTAGATATGGAAATCATGATGTCCAATTAAATCTTAAAAATCGGGAAACTACTCTACTGGCTCTCTGCCGAGAGCAATCATTTGATGCTAATAATGTTAAAAACATTTCTAAATTGTTGAAACAAAGCGCATTCCTTATTCCACTCTAAAATCTCTAAATATTGGCTACGTAATTCTGAAAATAAAAAGCCAAATATACAGTACGGGTGACATATTATTGACCGTTTTAACCATTAAGAGAATAATTCATAATGCTATGTACAGTTTTTCATCTTTGTAATAACTCGGTTATTATGGTAAACCTGATTCATGCTAACCTTTTAAGAGACAGATGCTTTCGTGGAAAACTTTCAAAGGGAAGCATGGACGTCTTTAATTTTTAAAGGACAACACGTTCCCATAATGCCTTAAGGAACGCAATATTTCGAGAATGATTACGTCCAGGAATTTTACGAGAATCTATGATTAAAATATTTTACTAGGCAATTAGTTTACTTAAGCCTTGTGATCTTCTTGTTTACCGATTGGTTGAAATACGCTAAACACAGTGTCAAAAGGAGCTTCCTATCAACATGGAAAAATTGTTGTGGTTAATCCTGGGTTGAACCTGTAGCTCAAATAAATTCTGGTATAAGACTTTTCTAGGAAGTGTTGCTTAAGGTGTTTAGGTATAATGTCCATAGGTATAATGCCTATTTAATATAATAGGCATCATGAAGAATATAACAAATGTCTCATGCAACTATCCCTCTAAATGGATTGGAAAATCGCTACACTCTTATGTTGCTGCTTTGTTTTTATAAGAAACAATGTTGTTTGAGTGAAACGTTGAAACAAAGATAGTAGAACAGAATTAATACAATTGGAGTTAGTTAGAGAGATTTGGAGATGAAAACAGCCCATTTTGTCCAACGATCTCAGAAAAACATATTCCTCTATAAACTTCTTACAAAACACGAGAAACGGTATGAAGCAAGCAAAGAAAGTATCTGATGTTACAGAATGGCTGGATGCTTTGGGAATTAATGAATCGTACAATAATCTGGATAATTTTAACTATCTTCCTAAACCTACTGTGACTAATAGACGAAAACAACGGTAATGAAAAGAGATAGAATTTAGAAAAATATTTGTAGAAACAAAATCATAACATCATTACAGAACTAAGGGTCGAAATTTTATAATTTTCATGTAATGTTTTGTTGTAGTTTGATTACTTTCAACCAGATTAAATCATTTTTTGCTAAAATAGGACATTCTACTTCTTATTATTATCATTACTAATTAAAGCAAAAGGAGACAATCATTTAAAAAGTTCATTGATGCACTTACAAGAAAATTTTAGTTGCATCATTTAATGTTATTACCATTCAGAAGTTATTCTTAAAGAATGCTTATTTTCATTGCCTGGATTTGGAAATCTCAGATGACAAATTTGCCTTTTTAAATGTTCGATGAAAATGTAAATGTTTTCGGAAGTGAACTCTTCAATGGACCTCTCATAACGATTATTAAATATAGTAAAGCAGTAAATTAAGGCAGAGCGTAAAGACAATACCTAATAAATAACCATATGTGTCATAATACTTCCTGGATAAAACGGAAAATTTTATTAATTAAGAGCCACACCCATTAAGAAACGAGATTAATGAATGAAGCACTGTAGGCAAGCTGCGATTGTTGCATCAGGTTCTTCTATTTACAATAAAATTAATGTAAAATTCCTTACCTGCTGCATCTTCAGTGTTCTCGACGCCAGGCTTCTAATAATCACGTTTTCCAGTAAGAGTTTCTATTACAATTAGCAGGCCATCTTGTCTTTTAATTATTTATTCAAAGAAAACGCTAATATACACTATTTACAAGGTAAGTGATAATTATTTTAAGACAGTACATTTTTAACTCTGAAGTCTTTACGCTCCTCAGAGCGGTTCCAATCTCGACTGCTTCTCGGAACTTAATTACAGCAAAAGTAAAGGAAGAGATGCCCGCCACCTAGTGGCAAGAATGTGACATCCTCCCACCTTTTGATTTTACCTCGATAAGATGGGAAAATCAAAACAAAATTTATCAATAATCAAACAAAAATTCAAGTACAACTTTCACAAATATGAAAAGTAACTAATGCTCTAAAATTAATACTTACAAAGAAGGATTACACATCTAAACATTTTCTGCATTACATTCATACCATATCCAGATAACATGTTCCAATTGACAACTGTTAGGACAATTAAATTTCTAAAATACTGAAAAGAAACAAAAATTAGTATAGCAATTTAAAAATATGTAAGAGGTTTTACAGTTTTACGTCCATATCTAGTTTGATAGTTCATATCACTGTAACACTTATCCGCAGAGTTTTTTATGTTCATGGTGAAGTCACTAAACAAGTTAGGTCTACCAAGTTCGAGAGGATAAATACGTTTCACAGGTCTTAGGAGTTCACCCGTTGCAGTTTTCACTTTGACAACACGTACTTCGTTGTCTTTCCCAGGATATAGTTCTACAACACGACCTATTGGCCAATCTATTCTCTTCTTGTTGTCGCTGCCGACAAACACCAAGTCATTTTTGTTGATAGTCCCGAGTAGATCGTTTAGATGGTTTTTGCACTAGGATAGCTAAATATTCATCACGAAATCTTTTGCGGAAATGTTCTCTTAAGTTCTG